AATAACTACTTTCTATAAAGTTTGATTAAAGGTTGTCGGAGTCTAGGAATTCGAATCTATAGAGGGTTTGCCAAAAAAAATCCATAAATCCTGAGAAACCATCGATAGATTCAATTTCCTTGACCCTGAAAATCTTTGATCAAAGTTTATAAGAAATCATTATTTCCGAACAACAGACTTCTCCGAACAAAAAATCGACCTCACAAACTTACCCTTACTGTTACTAGGTAACATAATGGTAACTCCGCCTAATCCTGGTGGATCCTGCAGCTCCTAGGATCCACCAGGGTTCGCTTTTTGTTCTTTGGAACGATAAATCTTCAAAATATTGGTCTCAATTGAGTCACGCACGTTTCTAATAAAAACAGTGACAGTACTACACTAGTACAGAGTTGATAATAACTTTCAAAACACCTTTTTGAAAATATAATCGCAATAGCGACAACTTTTTTTCTCTCGTCAAAGCATATTTTCCAGCCGCAATGCGTATCTCGGTCATGTAGTCTTCGTCTTTACATCATAATAATGGTTTCTCAACCTATTAAACCAGTATACTGCTCTTATATTAATTCAAAAGCACTACTTTTATTTTATTTTATTTTTTTGAATTTCATTGGTGTCCTTATTTTAATAATGTTGATTGTTATTATAATTGAGGCAAATTTCAAGTGATTTATATCAATATATTGAATACAATTGATTATATTTGATAAAAATTATATTTCTTATTCATGTATGAAATATAAAGGATTTTAAATCTGTTTCTCATAATTTAAAATTTCAATCATTCATTATCCATTTATACTTTTAGAAATGTCTGTTTCATAACGTTTTCATCTTCATACAATTTGTTCCAATAGAATTCGACATTTTAAGGCAACTTCTCATTTGCAAACATAGATGAAATAATTTTGAATTTTGGATTGATAACAAAGATGAGGGTGTGGGTTAGAGGGAATACTGGACTTATATCCTCATCCACATCGACACCCCGCACCCCCACCGCCACACCTCACACTTCTCTCGTAAGGATTCCAATAAATGCAAATATTATCTGATTTCTATTTTTTTGAATTTATATTTCTTCATGTTATAATACGAAAAAAAAATTCACTAGTAGAGTTAATTTATTTAATTATATATAATGTTAGAATTGTACAAAGTTTTATCTCTTGATTTTTCTTTGCTCACTATAAAATAATTCAATTTTGTTTTGATCAGATCTGAAGACGAAAAAAAATAAACGTAATTTGTATCAATCTGACTCTTGTTCTTCTTCATCATCATCACCAGCAGATTGTACACGTTTTCGTTTTGTTGGTTGTTCATTACTCGAATTATCTTCATCTGAAGAAGCAACTTTTCGATGTTTTGTTGAAGTTGATGGTCGTGAACGATTAGATTTTTCATCTGGATCATCATCATCTTCATCTTCACTTGTATCTTCAGCTTGATATCCACCTAAATTCAAAAATTCTTTAGATTAAAAAACAAAAAATAAAAATTTAACCTTGTAATTTCTTTTTTTTAACATTTTTTTTAATTGCATTTAATGATTCTTGTTCATTTTCTTCTTCATCTTCATCACGATCTTCAAGATAACTTGCTGACATTTTTCGATCTCTATAAGCAGCTCGTTCACGTTGTCGTAATTGTTGATTACGTCGACGTTCTTCAGCTTTCATTCGTTGTTCTTCTTTCTAGAAAATGCAAAAATTTCAATAAACAAAACAAAGCAAAACAAAACAAAACAAACCTTTCTCATATCAATACTATTTATAATAGGTGCTTTTATATTTGAAAGAACACGAACTTTTGGTGCTGGATTTGCTTTACTTGCAAATTTAAGTTTTAAATGTGCTAATGAATCATTTGAATGTTGTCTTCAAAAAGAAAATATTTCTTTTTATATTAGAAAATAATAAATTCTTACCTAAATGAAAGTTTTGTACGAAAAACAGCTTGAGCTTGCATACTTTTTTGATGACGAACAAATAAATGATTATGATCACTTTGAATATTTGCTTTTGATACATCAAAAATTTCTTTACCAACATGTAAAGATAAACTAAAATAAATTATTTTCAATAATTCATATTCTATGATATTAATAAATAAAATACCTTCCATCAGACCAACGTACTAATCTTGTATTACTTTCACGTATTGTTTCACCATTTTCATTTGTATTATAACGCCAACGAATTGTATTTTCAAGCTAAAGAATATATTGAATATTAGAGAATTCATGATACAGAAAAAAAAAAGAATAGTTTTACTCGTAATTTCTTTCGAGCTTTACTTTCTTCATCATCTTCATCACGAATTTCTTCATTAAAATATTGAAGATCAAAAGGTCTACAAAATTTTATTAATATAAAATAAAAGATTTAAAGAGAAAATTTTTACTTTGGTTCAACTTTCATAAAACTTGGTAATTTAACAAGATGAATATCCCGACCAAGATCACATGTAACTTGAGGTGTATCAACCATAATTTGTTCTTCTTCTTCTTGTTCTTCAATTAATTCATCTTCATCACCTTCATGTCCTTCCTATCGGACAAAATTTTTTATTATCTTTAATTTATTAAATAATAAATTTCATATATACCTGACTACCATTTAAATTATTATCATCTTGTTTTTTTCTTCGTATACCATCTTCATCTTCACTTAAATCACTTAATTCACCAAAAACCTGTTCTTGTGTGACATTTTGAGCTAAAACAAAAAAAAGATTTTTTTTTTTTTCGAAAATATGTTTTCTTTTTTTTCTGTTATTTTGATTTACCAGCTTCAACAGAATCTTCATCTAATGGATTTGTTGGATCAACTGCATCTAGAATTAAATATTATTATTGATGTGATTTTTACAACAAAAGGTAATTCACTACTATCAAATTCTAGTTCAACTTTTCATGATATTTCTATTTTTTAAAATGATATAATATAATGTTCGGAATGTAATAAAAAACAATAAAACTTTTTTTTCACAAACAAAATCCTTGAGTGTGGCTGACAACTACTATTTATTTACGGTTTTAGTCGAAACGAATGATATCTACCGATACAGAATATATGAAAATCTTAAAAAAAGACTTCGAATGAACTTTAGCCAAGCATAGTCTTTTTTAGCCAGACATCGCGACTCGCTTTACTCTCGACTAGAGCCCATTGGCTCCGATTCCGACCCAGTCGAGTTCAGAAATTTTTGGGTCCGATGGGCTCTTACAAAAGATCAATCAATTAGGTTTGAATTCAAAATTTTGATAGGCCGGGTTCAAAAAACTTTTACTCATCTTGTATGCTCGGAGTGGTTATCCAATTTCGATTAGAAAACATCATTGAGAGTATCAAAGTAGGAGTTGACTAGGCCTGAGTCCGAAAAATTTTAGGCTTAACTGAATGTCCAACTCTTTCCTTATAATATACTACTTTACAAGTCCATCGATACCAATACTAAATGTATGTATAAGGGTGAGTGTAGATCAGAGATAGACATAGGACAACTTTTTCTATCATGTTCTGTAGCCAGATGGGATCCGGATTTGAAATCATATCCGGCAATGTACGAGATCTCGATGTTTCAAAATATTTTTACTTTTTTAAACTGCTATATGTATAAACGCATAGAGATAAAAATCGGTTCGATCATGGTTGAGCAATTTATTGTACTTGAGAACAGATCATAGAAGTAAAAAGCAATATTATTTTACTAGAAGAATTCATTTTTAATGGAAATGTATCTACAGATGATGAGAAACTAATGACGATGGAGAAAGCATTCATGTATGTATCCACAATTATGACATTTAACACTCACACTGCATTCTATTTCAGCATTATCGGCAGTACACAAACATATACTTAGCGAAATCGATCAAATTTTAGACACTAAATAAATCCTGAATCACTTGTTTTTTTTTTGTTGAATTTGAGATGATCTCTTTTTTTGTTATAGCTATTTATGGAAAAAACTAAATAGTATACTTTACCATATAAAATAAAAGTTTGAAAACTACCATGATTGTGAAAGTATTTGCCGGATGTCAATTAGTTCTATGCTGGGTCCGGACTGAGCTCGGGTATAAAAAAGTGTCGTTATTTCGTATGATTTTCAAATATAACAGCTAAAGTTTTCAGTAAAGACTAATATTATAAATACAAGGAAATGTAGAAACATCTTCATTTATTATTTTAATAGTACATTCATCACTATCCTTTTTAACACAGAGTGAATATTATTAATGAAGAAGTATTTGTTAACAAAAATAATACACAGAAAAAGGAAATATATGTTACAGACAAAACTAAATGTTGACAGAATTTGTTTGTAATCAGACGCAAAACTACAAAATAATTTTCGTTTGTGTTAAGAAAACAGTAGGTACCTACACTCTTTTTATACTAGTCAGTGATCAAAAAAGCATCAACTCAAAGATGGTATTTTTTTCGGTAGAAGCTTGTTAAGACAAATTAAACTTCAATAGAGAATAGTAGCGAACTTTACAACTTCGTAGATTTAACTAATCTTGAATTGAATAACTTTTGAAAGAAATGTCATAGAGAGCTGCGGCTTTCACCATTGGAAAGAGGAGATGAAGACACATTAAACCATATACAAAAAGACTTTTCTGATTACTTTTCAAAGAGTCTTATGTAAAGTTCCTAGAAAATCAACATGCCTCGTATGGTCACGATATTGATTTATTTATTTTCTGGAATGCACTAGAACCGCAAAACTGCATAAAGATTCTATTCCTAATTGCAACCAATAAGTTATTCTAGTCCTTGAAATGCAAATTATCATGCTATTTTTTCAAGAAAATAATCGAAAAATTTCTTTTTTTTAAACATATGAGAAAAAAAGCAATTCTTTTCGTATATGGTTCGAAGCATCTTCATCGCTTCTTTCCAATGATAAAAACCGCAGCTCTCTATGTCATCCCCTTCAAAAAATATCCACTCACCTTTTCTTTTTTTGAAATGAGGATTAGTTCTTCTTTCTTGGACAATCAATCAAATCGGTTCTCGAGAATCGTCTCTCTATTAGATACGACCACAGGACAACGTTTTTCTATCCTGTCATGCTTTTCTTCACCTATTCAACGAATAATATTCCCATACATTCTAATATTTATTCATCTGTAAAATTATGAAAAAAGTTTTGCTTTGTCCAACTCTACCTCGTGCTTCAGTATCGTATTCTTCTTCATTGATTGGAGTATTATGTTCATCTTCCTCTTCATCATCGTGTTGATTATTTTCTTGTTGATTAGATTCTTCTTGATCACTACCTTGATTTTCTTCTTCTTCTTCTTCTTGATCACCACCTTGATTTTCTTCTTCTTCCTCTTCTTCTTGATCAACATGTTCTACTTCAGATTCGATTTCTCTATCATCAATTTGTTCTTGTTCTTCTTCCTCTTCTTCTTCTTCTTCATCTAATATAAACAATTCAAAAATTTCGAACATAAGAAAATTTTCTCACTTACGTTCATCCGATTCAACGATAATATTATTACTATTCATTATTCTAAATTAAATAAATAATATTCATATATATATATAGATATATAGATATATTTCAAAATGCAAATAAATCAATTTTTATTTTCTTAAGACAAATAGATAGTAATAAAAAAAAAAAAAAAAAGATTATTTTTTTTTATCAATTGCACAAAAAGACATTGCACTGTTATCAATAAGAAGATACAAAAAAAGAAAACATAAATGACTATTATCGTATTTTTTGTTTTTGTTTTATCTTTTATAAAATAATACAACAATTTGTAGGTTTTTCTTTATCTATAACAGGATTAATTAAATCTGTATCTGCATCTTTGATGGCATTTTTAAATGGTCGTACAATTCTCATTAATTCACAAAAAACTTTATCAACATTCTGTTTTGTTTTTGCTGATGTTTCAATATATTTTATTGACCAATTACGTGCTGTTTGTTCAGCTTCTTCAACTGTAACATTACGTTTATCAGCTAAATCAATTTTATTTCCAACTAATATTGCTGGAATATTTGCTCCAGTACTTTTGACACGTAAAATTTGTTCACTTAAACAAAATAATAATAAATTTTTGTTTTTTTGGAAATAATAAAATAATCTAACTTACTAAAGTTCATTTAAATCCGAAAATGATTCTGCATCCGTTACATCAAATACAAGAAGAAAACCTTCACCACTACGTATATATGTATCACGAATAGCTGAAATTTTTATTTTATTTTATTTTTTTCAATATAATATTTTAAACAAACCAGCATAATGCTCTTGTCCAGCTGTATCTAATATATCAATTTGAACTTCTTCACCATCAAGCATAATTGCTTTTCGATATGAATCAGCTTTTGTTGGTTCATAATCAACAACGAACTAAATAATTTTTATTTTTTTTTTTATTTAAATGAATAAAAACAAATAAATCTTCAATTACTTCATCATACATATATTGAAGTGTTAAAGCTGATTTACCAACACCACCACTTCCAACCTAACAAGATGATATAATAATGAAATTAATATTTCTAGAATTTTTATTACCATAATTAATCGATAGATAGGTGTTGATTTATTTGTGGTCGCCATTGTTTTTGTATATTTATAGATAAGAAAAAATACAAAAAAAAAAGTAATCTATAAAAATAAACGTTAATTTTCATCGTCTCTTGTTATCATTTCACAAGAACAAATCAAATAAATATATAAGAAAAAATAGATTTCATTGGATGAGTTAGAAAATGAGACATGACACGTTCGTTAGAGGGAGTTAGTTTACATCAAGATATAAATCTTCACTCTCGTGAAATCCTTACATTGTAAGATGAAGTATTTGCATCCTGTAGAAGAATCGTTCTGTTGGATAATCTATTTAATAAATCCTATATATGAAATAACAAAAGAAGAAAAGGTAAGAAGTTCTAATTTCTCTTTTCTCTATTTCAATCTTGCCTTTAGATCGTATCTCATAAAATAGAGCCTGTCTATTGTTCATACAAATCAGAAACTAGTGTATTTCAACTTTTTTGCACATACGTTCTAAATTTTTGATATTATACAGTACGAAATAAATGTAATGAGTTTAGAAAAAAAAATTGACTGAGAGTAGAAATTAATATTGCATTGATTTTGTTATTGAAATCTAAGGTATAAAAAGAGATCAGTTTAAAGTCATGACAATAAGGATCGTAATACTAAATTATATAAAAACTTCAACAAATAAAATTCATATCGAAGAAGTTCTTTATGATCAGATTTGAATATTAGCTTATAGATTTTATCACATTGTTTATTTCAGTAAAAACTCTCTTACTCATACTAACGAACTTACATTTCCAGGTGTCTCGCTCTGATATCGTTCCTTTACATATTATTCTATAGAGGACCTCAAGTAGATAAAAAGTCTAAAAAGGTTCCAATCGACAACTTTTTCTTCGGGAGTTACGATCAGTTTTCTGATTTTCCTTGAGAAAATTAGCAAAAAAAGAAAAATTCATAACTCTACAAAGGAAACTCATAGAGAGCCAAAATTTGTTTTGATGGTAGTCTTAAGGGTCCTATATATACTCTAGAAGTTTGACAATTCTATCACTCTCTTTTCCCTAGTTATAGGACATTTCTATAAGCAAGGATGTAGGCGTCAGTGCTCCCTTGCCCACACTCTCACCCTTACTTATAGAAATGTCCTATAACTTGGGAAAAGAGAGTGATAGAATTGTGAAACTTTGAGAGTATATAGAAGACCCTTAAGACTACCATCAAAACAAATTTCGACTCTCTATGAATTTTCTCTTCTGGTAGTAACTCCCGAAGAAAAAGCTGTTGATTAGAACCTTTTTAGGCATTTTACCCACTTGAGGTCCTCTATAGAATGACATATGAAGAAACGAAATCGGAACGAGAGAATTGGGAATGTTTCCTTGTAAGTGTCTGACGGAATATTCTTAAATTTCAGACTTCATTAATGTTTATTCGATATTATTCAATGAATTTGACCCATTTTCTAAATTAGTATGAATAGGAATCAAAAATCTAAATAGTATTTTTAATTCTAATTAGTTTTTTTTGCCCAATGTATATTCTATCATCTGTATTTCATCGAATAAACGTATCATTTATCCAGTGCTGCCATCTTTTGAAGTCTGAAAAGCAGAAAGACAGCAGAAAGTATGTTTATGATATGATATTAACGGGTAGCTCGTAATAAAAGAGGGTCTCAATATTTTGCAGAGATGTCCATCGCGACTGAAAATCTGCTGCTGCCGCGGTGGTTTCAGAAAAGTGTTTCTAAATTCACTGCTGCGAATATATTTGACCAGAGATATTGGTACTAGTCCATCAAATTCATTTAGTCTTGGGATGTTTCATTTGTAAACCCTGAAATTCTATTAAATTCATGCAGTTTTTCAATGTCCTCCAAAGAAATCCTGCCGCTGCCACAATGGACATCCGTGGGATTTTTTTAAACATCTTAAGCGTTATCTTGTCGTTCACGCTTTATTTTTTTATCAAAAGATTCACTGTCTGCTTCTGCACAAATTGCATATTGTGTTGTAAAAATACTTATTTCTTTCTCTTTCGATATAACCACGATTTACAAACAGTACTACATACAACTTTCAAAATCTCTATTTTTTCCGAAAACATCCAGTCTTTAGATTAGTCTTATTATCATTGGCTGTGCGATATGCTTTATCCAGAAATAAAATAAATTGCCTTTGGTACGTTGATTGAAATGAACCAATTTATCTCTTGAGTGGCGAACAAATTATACCTAAAGTAACAGAATTAATTGAGAAACTGGACATTTTGGAAAAAATTGAAAAAAATAAAGACTTAGAAAGTTGTGTGTAATGCTTGTTTTAAATCATGATGATGTTGAAAGAGAGATAAGTGTTTTTTAAAGCGAAATATACCAATTTCTGTAGAATCAGACGATGAATTTTTCGATAAAAAAAAATAAAACGTGAGCGATAAGATAACGCTTAAGATGTTAACAGAATACTGAGACCCTCTTTTATTATGAGCTACTCGTTAGTTTTAAATTTTAGTTTCAGTATATTAATCACTCGCATTATATGTTATCACAAAACACAACTAATTAACAAATAGTCAGAATTATTGAACACGTTTTCTTTTTAAGGAGTATTCTTCATCTGATTTAAGAGGTTTTGACAAATCTTTTTTATCGAATAAATATTTATTCATTACAGTATATGATAAGGAGAAATTCAAAATAATTATTGATTAAATCATAGTATTTAAAAATTTTTTTTTGTTTCTTCTTGTTCATAGGATTATCAATATTAGCTTTTTATTAGCAATGCTCGGAAAAGTGTTGATGACGAACATAATTATTACTTCAGCAACTACAACTGCTTTGTGAATACCTTCTTCGCTAGTCGAGCTGTCATTATCATCTAGAGCTTTTTTTTCTGTTCCTTTCCGCTCACTAATCATATTAATTATTCATGTTCATTGAGTAAACAAACGAAAGAATGTATATGTTGATGTATATGAATTATATGAGTAATTAAAATACGATAGAAAACTATAGGTAAAGAATTGATTTAAAGCCAAATATATAGGTTGGTAGTTGTTTGTAGTCAGTAGAAAATAAAAATCATCTATATCAAATAGAAAGAATTAGAATGGTACAAATATATCAGTAGTTTTTGATACGGTTTTTTTAATAATTATGAAAACAAAGGTATTTCAGGTGAAAAATGTTGATTGAAATAATAAATAGCGCCGTATCAAAAAAAGCAGAAGAGTTGGCAGCTCTGCACACATCATAATGCATATTGAGTTTTGTAGGATAATCGAAATATCTTATGTTGAATGTTCTATACTTGAAATTTTATCTGCTATTAATAATTCAATTTTTATAATTGAAATACTTTTCTACCAATTTTCTTTAAATATATTCAATAGAAATAATCATATTATATTTATTAATCACATATCAGTTCAACCATATAATATAAATCTATATTTAGTTATATTTCAATCAAATTTTACAACTAAAGAAAAAAATCTTTAATATTCATTTGAAGATTATAATTTAAATCATTTCGAAATAAATTCAATAACTAGACAAGTTCTTTTTCTGTAATTATCTAATAGATAAATTTTATTCATTTAAAATTCATAATTGAACAAATCATTATTGTTAAATTAAACATCAATTGTTATAAAATAATCATCGTCGAAATTTTCTTCATCTATTATTAAAATTTATCAAAATCATTTTCTGATAAATCTATAATAAAATTATCAGCATAATCTCAATTGCAAAAGTCTTGACATAAAATATTTTACAGTACTGAAAGAATATCAATTGATCTTCTACCACAATTGCTCACTTGATAGAGAGCATCCGTTGAAATATCAAATAGAATAGCACCTAGATAAAAAACAAACACACTGCATAGTTTAGCACAGGTGTCATAATGTTACTGCCGTTGGGTATCAGATTCACGGTCATTGAATTCAACGAAAGAACAAGACAATAGCGAAAACATTGACGCAAAATTATTTGATGACTGAGGTGGACACGTGTCCTTGTAGAGGATAAGGAACTAACTCGAACGGCTTGATTGGCGAAATACTTTGCTCTACTAAAACATGAGATTAAAATCAAATCTCTCTTGCTTTTCTCGCTATAAAATGAACGGAAGATCAGTGATTATGTATTATCATGCAAGAGAAAGAATGTAGCATTTTGTACATTGTCCTTTTTTTGTATTATTCTTCAGACACTTTTCTACTTGCAGTTTTTTCGCTTCGACCTGGTCTACTGGTAGACCGGTCGTCAAAAAACTAGACTGGTTTCATCTATGGGTGTAGGTATAGGTCTTCTGTATATCCACACCCTTCTCTTATAAGTTCTTTTAGTAGGAAAATCTAGTTTAAATTTTATTGTTTTCTGAAAAATCTGACAAGCCTATAGCTTGAAAAATTGATCGAGTTTCTTGATTAGAAGACTTTCCATCATGTGTCATGATTGTAGCAAATTCCAACATGCTTCATGATGCTGTTTTCTCATTTTTATTTTCCTTCTTTGTCCTCTCATGGTAATCTTCCAAGAAAAACTATTTTGATTTTTTTTTCATCTATTATCAAAGCCATTCCACTATATTCGATGTAGAATTTTGTAGATATAGGATAGGCAAAGCTCACATTATTGAAAATAAAATTGGATATTTCTATCATATTTTGATTAAAGAGGTTTATTCGTTTTTGCTATTAATGTACAAGTGCACATTGGTTTCAGTCATAAGAAAAATGTTCGACAATATCACTGTAAAACACCATCATTGATAACAAAAAACAACCGTAACTTATCAGGAATAATAATAAAACCACATATTCATTCCTTAGATCAAAAGTAAATGACGAATCTAATTTTCGATTAATTCTCTAAATGATAGAAAGATATTCAATTTTCTTTTGATCTGCTATGAACTGTATTCAAGAATTCTATTTTTCACTTGTTTGTTTGATACGTCATATTTCTGCTAATCAACGTCTCGATTCTTGTTCTTTTCCTTTCTCTGTGCGTTTTTGTCTTTTTTTTTGTTCTATAGCTTCCTTTACATAACCTACACTGATATTTTTTCTCTTCCTTGCCTATTGGCAAGCCCAATATTTCAACATTCAATATTGCGCCTGTTTAATTCTTACGGGAAAAAAACCAAAATTCGTCATAAAAAAATAAATAACGTCAGTGGGAAAGATATCATTCCTGACTTATAAATAGAACATCAAATGTTTATCCAAGTCAACAGTAGATTTCTAATTTATTCTATTACAACAACTATTCTTAGTAGTCATCCGATTTACACTGATGGTTTTGTCGAGAGGAGAAAGTTAGTATTAATAAAAACTATATGATGTTATCATTAGTAATTCATTCTGGTGTTGAAAATTTCGGACATTTTTTTTCGTGTGCTATTCCTTATAAACCAAGGTTTACTTTCTTTTTTTTAACAGATGAATAGTTTTGACAGATGAGAATTTTTTTTCTACTGAAAACTTCTTCAAAGTAGGAACTACCAGACACTAAGCGAGATTATGCTGAGGAATAACAATAGGAGAAGGTGCAATATTTTCTTAATAGAATCAAAAGTTTAAGAACTAGCCAATGAATCAATTACTCAATCTGAACAAATATATTCGTAAATCTGTTCAGATGCTCACGAAATTCGATAATTAAACTTTTTTATCATTCTATTTTGTAATATATTCTTTCAGATAATCATTGCTTTTCATAACAACAAAAATAAATTAACAAAAGTTTATCATTGAACCTTTTAATTCTCATTTTTAATAGAGAGACTAAGATGTTTTTCTTTATTCTACTGATAATTCTGATTATTACATTCATAATCAAATGTTATCAATATTATCATCATCATTATTACATTAATATTGAACAATTTTGTCAATATTATTGTCATCCTTATGTTTGTTCGATCAATAATAATGAAAGTTTTTCACTATCAACCATTGATATGTTTCATAAATGTGAAAATACTAATAGGTATCATATAAAATCAAATACAGATTATTTATCGATTTGTCAATATATTCGAGAATTTCTTTGTAAAAATAATGAATGTATGAATAAACCAGGTCCTGTTTGTCCATTTATGCCGGGTGCATTGAAACAACAATCGATCTATTTTTTCTTAGTAAATGATCAATATACCAATAAAAACAGGTTGATTAAAATGGTACAACAATGTAAAAATGATTTTCTATATAAATTAAAACCAATTATTAGAAATAGAGACAAATCAATTTATAAATGTTTAATTATATTAATTCGATCATCGAATATATCACATAGTTTGATTGATGAAATTCAAACAGAATTAAAACCCGAATTTATTATTCAACATGGTCTCATGTTTGGTGAATTTCATCAATCAACAAATTCGACTGCAATTCGAAATGAAAATGTTTATCCATTTCGAACAATAGCACCATTATTAGTTATTCGTTATATGGTTGCAAATGATATTATTTTTCTAAATCAAAAACACAAATATTCTATTGATATTCGTATGAGTATGATAAAAAAATATTTAAATTTATATCATTCAGGTTTATTGTATCGTGCAAAAACAAATTATTTAGAAGATGCTAATAAAATTCTTGAAGAATTGAGTTCTTCAATTAGAGAATGACAGTATAATATATCCTGAACAGGGTTGCCACCTCTTCCGCTTTTTGCGGAAAAGTTCCGCTTTTTCACCTTTTTTCCGCTTTTTTTGTATGGAAAACTTAAAATTTGTCCTTTATTTAAAAATTTGTGGTAATAAAATTCATTACGATTCTGTTCACTGTGTTAGCTGTAGTGATCTGCATCGAAATCAATTTCGAAGTTGTTTTGAAGTCAATTAAGTATCTTGCCAATAATTCATTTTGAACATCAGAATCTTTGTGTTTTTGTAGGCTTTGCTCTTTGATTGATTTTCTACAGGCTGATGTATCATCTTGAAGGTTCAATCAACATCACATTGAGGCCTACGGACACAAAGAGAAAGTCGGAATAAACTTTGATTCCGAGTTTTTCGACTCTGATTTCCTCTTTGGGTCGATTGTCTTCAATGTGACGTTGATTGGACCTCCAAGATACATTCGATTGTAAGAAATCGGCCAAAGAACAAAGCCTACAACGCATAAAGATTCTAATGTTCAAATGAATTATTAGCAAGAAATTTATTTGACTCCGAAGCGACTTCGAAATTAACTCCGATACAGGTCTCTAGTTAGCTGTCATTTACAGTCTATTATTTTCTATATGATGCATTCTGTATTCTATTTCGAAAAGCAGTGCTACTACCGTAACTGTTTTTTTCGGAACCGATACATATATCCGATTATTACTGCAATTGCATGTCAGTCGATTCAATCGTTGCAGAAAGATAGATTCATTGAAATACTTCATTGTCACAAGAACATGCATATAGTTCCATGGCTTCAAAAGGAGTTTCTAAGTGAAACCCATTGGACAGCACACGTAACTGATTTGAAAAAATTCATGTGCTTCATAAAATATCCATCTTCGTTATGTATTTCTCATTGTGTTTTGGAACTTTCAGAATGAAGATGTGTTACAGAAAGAAGCAAAAAGTCATTGAAACCTATAGCAATGTCAAAGTCTCACAAAAAACAGCTTCCCACAAGTTTTCCGTTTTTTGTACTTTTTTTTCCGCTTTTTTGACTTGACCAGGTGACATCCCTGATCCTGAATGTTTCTTCAAGAATCTATGATCCAATTGAGCTATATAAAGTCAAACTCGTTCTATTTTTTGTTCTTTTTTTGTGCTTGTTCATTTGTTGTATAATAAACAAGAATTTATCTTGTAGAAAAGTCACTATACAGCTATTTGCAAAAAAAGCTTCGCACACCTTCTTCTACAGATATCATCTTCTATACAAGTCTTCTTCGAATTGTTTTATATTGTGATGGATAGTCCACGAATAGTACTATACGATAGCATAATTTGATATTCTCTTTGTTCACCTTTAGAAGAAATATAAAACAAACATCTCTTTTTCTTGGACATAGCAAAATTATTTATAATCAAAATTTCGACATTTTTGACTTTTTCACCTAAAAATGTTGGAATTCATCAATTTTCTTTTGAATTTCTTTTCTCAATGTTATATTCAGGTGTGAATGTAGGGTGTGGGTGTGAGTGTGGTCATGGGTATGGGTGGGGCTGTAGGTGTCGGTCCGCGTGTTGGTGTGTATGGATGTGCGTGTGGATATGGGTATCGATAGAAGGACCATACCCACACGCCCACATCCATTCACACCCAACTACACCCATGATTACACACACATTCGCACCTGAATATACTTAGGATAGTCCAAAAGTAGTGGCAGCCGCATCTTAATTTTGTATAGAAGACTTGAGAAAACTTTCTCTCAATATAGTCTTCAAGAGACTACAACTTAACAGAGTCGGATTTTTCGATTTCTGCATTAATTTTTATAAAAAACTAACTTTTCTGGATCTACTCCCCATTGGCTTTTTCATATTTCATCAGAGAAATTCTCTAAAAACACAAGCTAGGAGAGAATCAAAAAATCGGGCCCTGTTAATTATGAGAAAAATGAATTTCAAATTCCATATATTTCGACGTTCTCGAAACCTCTACTCAGGTCAATCATGCTCGGTCGTACACGGCCGTATACCAACCCACTACGACGGACAACGGCAGCTGTTTGCGGGAGCCATTTATAGCAATCGTAAACGATGCTTTACGGTGTATTACGGCCATCATAAATCGTGACCATAAAAAGTTACCATTAACGGCTAGTGTAACAATATGGCGATCGTATGCGCTGCTCCGAAAGCATTGTAAAACTTCGTATACATCAGCTGTTTGTAGTAATCGCTAACAGAAATCGTAAACGACGCTTTACAGAGTATTACGTTCATCTGAAACTCTTGGCGTAAACCCCTCATTTATGCCTATCCTAGCAATACGACGACTGTAAACGATGCTCAGATAATATCATCAGTCATAGCATACGTAAAACGTTTAATAAACGTTCATTGTTTCCTATCGTATCTCGTCGTGAGCCGACATTAACGTTAATGGGCGCCACTTGGGATTTAGAAGTAGCATCTAACAATGTCAATGCTGTTACTTTTGAATAATCATTGTCCACCAGGAATTACACTTTCACATTATTAACTTTAGCTGTATTTAATGCGGACGTATTTGAAATAAGTTAGCTTTACTTTGGAGATCACTAGATAAACACTGTCTCGGTTCTGGCAGCATAACCTAACATGTTGCCGGTAATATCTCAGGTGATGCCTCTATCATCCCAGGTAAGGCTCTAGAAGTTACGTATGCTTCATGGATTACGGTTAGGCATAATTCTAACATGAAATCTGTTTGTGTATTGAAAATTATTTTAGTGATATTAGGAAACACATCAGACACCGCAGACAGGCTATTCACAACCAGGCGGAGCCCGCCCTATATATATATACGACTGTCATCACATGGTTCAGTTCATTTCGATTCCGACTGAAGATCGAGTAAGTAGGCTTAGAAATCCTGAAAAAAGTATTCGCTACACAGAAACTCCCGCAGATATTCTTTAAGCATCTATGAATCAAAACAAGCTTGTATACTCCGATAGAAACACCTATACCTTTCAACCCACAGCTGTATAGGTAAAAAATTTCTCACTTGGCAGTACAAATTTCTTATAAATCCCTTTTTCTGAGAAACTTTCTGAGGAAATCTTGTACAGTTTCACAGAACGTTCTACGTGAAGCGCCAATACCTGACATCTGAATATATGGGATTGATTCTCTTCAAACCTTCTTCTTTGTTCTAATAGTTGACTTCTAAGCAGAAATCAGAGTTTGTTTCAAAAAAGTTCTTTGAAGGCCTCCTTTTCAAAACTTTGTAAATAACGTGATTTCTTCATCCAAATACATGGATTCTTATAGAAAAAAGCACTTGAAAGTCTTTTAAGAAGCCAAACATTTACATTATTTGATCCAATGGAGAAAAATGGATTTTTTTGAAAAAGGCCTTTGTAGGTCTTTTTTTGCGAAACCTTGAAATTACATGATTTTATACCCAAATGATTGAATTGTAATAGAAAAAGGTATTGTGAAGCCTTTTCAGAAGCTAAACCTTTAGATTATTTGATTACATTGAAGATAAATGGATTTCTTCGAACAACGCCTTTAAAATCGTTCTAGAGCCTCTGAGGGTCTTTTAGTGCTGTCAAAGTGCTTTTAGATCCTGTTTTTGGACAGCCGAAAATTAGTTGAATTTCAATACAATTGATTGGATTCTAACAGAAAGAGTATTATAACGTCGTCTCGGGTCGTTTATGATAACGTAAACGGTCGTCATAATGATGGATCTAGGATGTTTTTGATTGTCTCGGAACGGTTATATATGGCTGCATATGTCAGAAATGAGTCGTGTTACGGGGCATATACTGTCATTGAATTCGATCGTATTATGCACTTTACGACACGGTGATATACAGCTGTAATATGATACAAGCCGAAATGTCAATTTACGACACGAATATGACAGGTGTCGGTGTGAGTGAGGTGTTGGCGTCAGCAGATGTCACTCTATGACGCTAACTCTTAGTCACTATTTGTTATTGGTTTTCTTCTCTTCTCTTCAAGGTATCTTGTTTTGATCCTTCTCAGTTGCGTGTTTTTCCCTTTGTGACTGACCATCTTTCTCCTCTTCATTATCTTCTTTATTATTATATTCTCGGTTACTTGTTATTCTTATGTTTTATTCGTTTTCAAAATAAAACATTTTAAACAGAATAACTTCTCAATATCATTATATGTTACGACGACAAAGGAAGGTAGGCAGTTTATGTAAGCTCTTTAATTCTTTAGAAGACTAAAATCATTAGTTCTACTATACATCCCCAAAACGAAAATCTCACAATTGATGGAGAAGTTGGGCAAATTTTGTCTGCATTAGTCTTGTTTTTGTTTTTCGTTTTGTTTGTCTTTTTATTTTTTTCGTTTGTGCTCATAATTTTTTCACACTTATTACTTTTTTCAACTGAAATATAATCTCTATGTTCATTGATCATCTTTAAATGAATAATGATCATTGTGTTCTTCATTCAAATAATTAATCATCATATAAACCGATAAATATATAAAACACTTCGTATTTATCAATATCTACTTTGAAAAATAAACAAGATTCTAATTTATTGAATCCATTAAATAAAAATTGTAGAAAGTCAATTATACCATTATCTCATTTGCCCATGAAATTACACAAGATATTCGAAATGGATCATGAATCTTATAATTCATTAAATAAAAATTATTCATTAGAAGAAACAGAAAAACAATTTCAACCTAATATTAATCCTACTACAACAAGTCAAACAAACAACAATCAAAATAACAATGATTTATTACCGATAGAAAAGAATGAAAATAGTTTCGATTCATTTATTCTACAAAATTTGTATACAATTCTCTGGTGAACAAGATGTTAATCTATGGTTACATGAAACAGAGAAGAAATTTACGTTTCACGGCAATTCCGTTATTAGTTGAAGATCATGCCAAAAAGGTTTACATAGTAAACAGACGAAATATTCAATCGTTCGATGATTTCTATGAACTGTTATTATCACACTTTGATAAATATGACGTTCAACTGATACACAATACTCAACAAGAAAATATTATATCCTAATCTGATCTAAATTCTCAAACGAGATTAGCAGAAGACAAAAATTTACAAACAATGCTGACATTTGATAATACACATTTCCCAGAAAGACCACTAAAACATCATTCTACTACATTAATTGATGAAGGTATCGCTTCTTTAACTGACGAGATACCAGCACTACAATCAATAGTAACTAACCATAATACTAATAACAGTACCTCAAACTTTGATGATGTAACAAATGTACTTCGTAAAGTTTTATTCCAAAATTTAATAAAAAATCCTAAAACATTGCAAGGTGAAAAAGATGATGTTACTAAATGGCTGGAAGATCTAGGACATCTATTTGATGTAGCATATATTCCTGATACAAACAAATTAGATATAATATCATACTTGCTTCGAGGAGAAGTACTTCAATGGTAGAAAAACAATAAAAATAAAAATATATTAACATCTTGGAAAGTATTCGTACACGAATTAACAAAAGTATTTATATCATCTTATTATGATTTATTAGCATTTAAAAAATTAGAATCATATACTCAAGGAGAAAATCAATCGTTTTACAATTTTTATAATAAAGTTCTTCAACTCTGTAATGAAGCTGATTCAACTATGAGTGGATCTATTAAATTCAAGGATATTCTCAATAAAACTAAGCTAACTATACAATTTGAAGTTCGAAGGAAAAAGTCGACAACAGCAAAAAAAATTCTCGAATATGTAAAAGATATTGAAGAACTTTATCAACTATCAAACATCAGTATTCATGATAAGAATAACAATATTGTTACAATACCAACAGTAACAAAACTGAAAGTCAATAATTATAATAATTTCTCTTTCATCACTTCTCAATCTCAACATTGGGGACCATTTGATTATAATTATTATATCAATAACAATAAAAACAATTTTCATCGTCATCATTTCGATCAAGAAATCCAACAATTCCATCAACTAAACCATTAGAACTAATGTAATCACAACAAAATTATGCTCCACGAAAATTTCATTCGAATCAATAAAGATCATCGAATAATTATAATAACCGATCTAATACTCAACGATATCTGAGAGTATTTTATCGTGATAATGCACAACAAAATACTGTCAATAATTTAATTCCACCCGACAATATCTCACAACGTGATTTACAACAACTATTAGAGACAACAAATTGTTGTACTCGATGCAATCAATTTCTATATCAGGCTATTTCCTCTCCAAATTTCTAAAATCGGAGACACCGAAAGATGGTGTTGCCATCGGTAAAATACAAAAAAATCCATAATAATCCTCATTAATCTTCATTACCACATTTGTAAAAAATCAAACTCTACATCTCCTCATCGGCACTGGAGCCACTACAACTTTTATTAACAATAAAGCCCGACGTTCAACCAGTTTGGATCATTAGAAGATCGATCTCGAAAGAGATTTTAAAATATTCAAGAAGTACCTTTCTGTTTATCTCATATGAAAATATTCTTCATAGCTGCCTTCTAAAATTAACGATCTCGCGATATCTTTGACTGTCATCAATAAGTCACAAGGTGGGATTGATCTTTGACATTAGTGAAACTCAACTTACACTAGTACAATATAAGCAATATTATTCTTCTTTTCAAGATAAGTCCAACTAAAATTCATTCGATTAATTATATTTGATTCGAGATCATTATTTTCGAAGTAAGAATTACGATATTACGTTGTTTGTATCATTTTCTCAATAAATTTATGTATTCCGACGATTAGACTAGATTAGCTAGATCTGTTTATTAGTTGGTTACGTTCTCTGTTTTCATCGCATGTATTTTGTATATTATCTCGAATATTTTAATTAAAAACACGACTTTTACACATTTGTTTCGATCAATTTTCCTTAACTCTATCAAAATATCCATCATCTACTCGCATTTCTGTCGTGTCTTTTTATTTTTTTATCTGATTTTTGGGTTGTATTTTGACCATCGAGCATACTTATTATTTACATTTGATATCATTCTTCTTCTTCGTCCTGATACAAAACTTATCATTAACGAATAGACCTTGGAGAGCAATGTGAAAGATGATAACTGTTTTTTTTCACTTTATCCAAATAATTTTATTTCGAAGGTGGATCTGAGGGAATAGGGGTAGGGTGGAATGGAAGTGTGGGTGTGAAAGCTTTCTACACAGGCTTCTTCTTCAGCCAGAAACACATCCACATTTTCTAAAAACCCTATCAATTCATAATGACTTTAATACAATAGAGAGATAAGCGTCGTTTCTTTTGTTTATAGGTGCCTACAAAAAAAAAAGAAAAGTAAATGCAATATGACTCACTCCTTTTTTTTGTTCTCTTCTTGTGAAAGTCGGTGCGAAGAACGTCGATTTCTTTTTATTATGATAATAATGCGTGAGCACAGGCAAACACAGAATTGATTAAAAATAACAATGGCCAAGTGAGCTGCTTGCCTTCTGCGTCTATTCACTGCGTGTGTTATGGTGTCCTTGCCATCTCTAACGAGTAAGCACGTAGCCCGAAATTTTTTGATGCGAAGAAACCAATTGTGGCGAAGAAAAACTTTTTGCTTGCAAGATTTTTTTACGTGTTCCTTACAAAGAAGTTTTTTGGATGAAGATCGGCACTTTTCTGGCTATGTTCCTGCTACCGAGTCTCTTTCAGCAGTGTTCATATTTCTAAAAAAAAATAAATTCCCATGACAAATCATCCAATTTCACCGATTACCACAGAGCGAAAAGGATTTCTTTTTATGAAACATGATTGTCCATGAGTGTTGAATTATATATCGAGAGAAGTAATATCCCTCTCTCCGTCTGTCGCACAGATCGTGACAAACATGTCGATGTTCTTTTGGCTTCGTCAGAGAGTGTAACGGATATTTTAAACTGCTGTTCCTTTAACTCCGTTAAGGATCATGATCAATATGGGAACGATCCTTGTTTACAATAAAGCAACTTTATTGTGTTTCACATTTTAATTCCGTATGGATTGCAATGAAAGTTTTTTCTATTATGTCTCCCGTCCACAAAACATATCATCTATGTGCTCGTTGAGAAATGAGAACAAGATACGTACTGGTATAGTTCCTCAGTCATTTCTTTGTTTGTTCAATACGATGATCAATAACGATGTTGATGTTTTAGCCAATCGACTTCAGTATCCGAAGAAATGGCAACGGTTTGGCCGTTCATGTTACTATCTACCCAATGTAACCCCAACGTCTATAGATGCCAATCATTCATGTAGTCTTCTTCATTCGAGTACATAATTGATGTACATTCGACATTCTGCCGAACTTTTCTGTGCTGTACATATACTCAAGGTCAATCGTCTGGATACATTAATGATCAAAATCGATCGACACTTACTTCAAGGTAGGTCAGATTGTACTTTAAATTAATAGAACTATTGAATATTGATCAATACGTTTTAAGATGATGATTATTTTAATCTCACACAAATCTATATTTGATATTAGATGCAAAAATTACCAATGTGCTTTCGCAAGATAACCATGTTCAATGGAACGAATCCGAGAAGAAGATTCATCAAGCTCGTTTCAAATATAGAAAATCGAAAACATCATCATCTGAGCATTTGCTACACAAAAATATATCTGATAATGCCAATCGAATTAATAGTATTGTGGATGAGCAGATGAAATGGCAATCTACAAATTTAGCCAGAGACAAATTGGAAAATCGTCAAGAAGATGATGCTGACTTATCGAAGGATGTGGGTATGGGTGTGGATGTGGATGTAGTTGCTGTTCTGTTGTTCAACAACGCACGCACACCCATACCATCACCTACATCCATTCTTTAGCTCATGGTTTCTGTATAGCCTTTTTGGCATTCGTTCGTTCGGCTAAACCAGTCAAAATTTGAAAGATAGACATTCCGTAACCATATCGTGCATTTTACAGGACTTAAAATGATATAGGTAGTTTGTGTAGATGAAAGGCCTATGAGAAAGCTCCTGGTAGTGAGGATAACGTGCCAGAAAGTTTTATTTTTCTTTGTCTATTAAAAGTTGAACTTTCATAAATCATTTTAACTACCAACCTGAAAACTTTCAAGGTTTCCGGATTTCGATTGACGAAACCATCTACTTCATATTTATGAATCAACTTTTTTTCTTAGATATACGAAATCAATGGATATAAAACTGATCTTTCTTATCTTAGTACTGGTTTTAACAGTTAGAGGCCATAGTCACGACGATGATGAATATCGAACAAAGATTAAAGCATCGGTTAAAGGTGTACTGAAAACAGTTCGAACCATCGTAAAATCCAGTGAAAAGTTTGCCGTTAAGATGCTCGATAAACTAGCCATTAAAGCTTCTTTGAAAGCTGGTGAAAAGGTAACAATGAAAGCATCAGAGAAACTGGCTGTGAAACTTGTTGAAAAAGCTGCTACGAAAGGAACAGTAAAATTTTTTGGCAAAACAGCCGGAAAATTAGTAAAGAAATTGCCCTACGTTGGTGTAGCGGTTGGTCTGGCTTTCGGATTATGGCGAATAATCGACGATCCGGAAGATTGGCAATCGTATGCTCTGGCTGTTGGTGAATTGAGTTCTGGTGTGATATCGGTAATACCGGAAATTGGAACAATCGCGTCAATGGCAATTGATGCAGGTCTATTGGCTTTTGATCTGAAGTATGTGAAACATGAACAAGAGACACAACAAGAACCACAACAGGCACAACAAGATCCAGAACAAGCACAACAGGAACCAGAACCAGCACAACAGGAACCAGAGCAAACACAACAAGAACCAGAACAAGCACAGCAAGAATCAGAACAAGCACAACAAGAAATAGGTCATGGCAGTGAACTATAAAGTTGTTGCTTCTTTTTAAACAAAAGAAAAAATGAAATGTTCTTATTGAGACACTAGGTTACAAAAGTAGAGGATTCCTTTTAATTTTTGAAGCATACAGTATTTTGGGGTGTGGGGGTATGAGATGTGGGTTGAGTGAGGGTGTAGATGTGGGTGTAAGTGAGAAGGTTCTGTTCAGTCACACTCGGCTCACACTCGCACTCACAACTGATGTTACTCATTTCACTTTAAATTATGTCATAAACCTTAATTCACAATAACCAAAACGATCAACTCAAATAGCTCTATTAATCTTGAAAGCTCCAGTCCGAGCGGAGAACTTTGTATAAGTGTATCTGATTTGCTATGGGATTACCTAATATGTTTAATTAATGTATGAAAAAATTAAATTCCATCCATTCACAAACGTTGGAATATATTGTAATTGAATTTATCTCAATGTGCATGTGTGTTCGGATTAAAGCTTAATGAAATTTGTCATTTTGTGAAGCTAATCAAGAAAAAACGGAACTTTGTAACAACATTTGAATGAAAATCATACGACTCTCCGATCTTTAGATCATCGTATTACAAAATAGCGATTGGAGTGGAGTGACGAGAAAGCAAAAAAACATCGCGATTACTGTGCAGTGCTTCTCACCGTAAAAAGAAAGAAAAATTACGAATGACTACATAAATGCTATGCGTTGCACCGCATTAAAAAAAAGAACCAAAAAATGTAATACGTAGTATAAGAAAAGACAAGACAGAATAATACATGGAAATATACAAAAAAGAACAAACAATCTAACTAAAGATATATCATGATCGATGGCCATGATACGTAAAAATTTAATTTGACAGTCTGATACTTGAGTCCTTAATTAAAAGTGATGCAAACTAATAGAATATTCAAGCTATATTCTAGATAAAATCAAAAATAGTGTATATGATAATTATCAATTATGAATTGTTCATTCATCATTATCAAGTTAAAAGTAAATGAATTAATTTTTAATTTATATAAAATTCTTTACTCTTATATCTAAAAATTTGCATTGTCAATTATATATTTTATTGAAATATATTGTTAAATATGAACTTGATTAATGTCTTTTTGTTGCGTTGAGCGAAATTTTCAAGTAAATCCGGTTGAAATAAGTTTCCATATTGAAATGTACATTAATCTACTCAAAATACTTCAATCAAAATCGATTTGCATTTTGTTTATTATCTCTAACAAATCCTATGCTTGTTATTATATGAATAAATGAACGCAAAATGATTAAAAAAAAGAACGAATAATCATAAGTTCGACCAGTTGATCTATAAAAAAATCCATGATAAGAGCATACGTACACAAATAAAATAATGGCTTGTCCTGACGATGGCAAAGAGTTTATTCAGTCTATGATTGGTTTTTTTTCTTCATCCATTTAAAGGAAGAAAAGAGTCAACACCAGAGGCGACTAAATGAATAACGAAATATTTTCAAAGTATTACTCGTCATATAAACAGAACTAAGGAATAAGAAAAAGACAAGTCACAGAAGAAAAAAAAGGATAAAAATATTTTCAATGTTATTCTGATGAACAGTATTTATCGTTTGTATTTGCCATATATCAAAAGTAATTCTATTCGCAATATTCAGTTATTTTTAGATGTTTTTTTCGCATTTTAATATTTTAATATTTATTTATTTTTGTTCATTTTCTTGGACTTCTACAATCGAAAATGATTATATATGGCCATGGGCAAAAACAAAATATTTAACTCGATCAAATTGGTCAACATTATTAATCCCTAATGATAATAATTCTTTTGACGATCAACATTCAATATGGTTTATTTTTCATTCTCAAAATTCTTGTGAATATTCTAAAAAATTTGAGCCTGTTTGGGAAGATCTTGCTCGATATGCAATTAGTAAGAAACCTAATAGAAAAAAAAATTTTTTTGTTTAATAATTTCTATTTGAATTTAGACTGGTCAAAATATATTCAAATAGGTACATATGATTGTACAAATGAATCATTATTAATGAATGATATTTGTCAAGATAAAGAATATCCTCATGGGAGTATTTATTGTCCATTAACAAATACAATACAATTAGCATTTTATTTAGAACAAAAATTAGATAATATAAAATTTGAAGATATTCTAATTTATTTATTAAATAAATTAAATAAAATTGCAAATCAATGTTACGGAGAATCATGGCCAATTAAAAATATTATTGAGTAAATAGAAAAGAAAAATTCTAAAATTAATTAATTTGAAATTTTTAGATCAAAAACAAATGATGATTTGAATAAAATAATTCCAAAAAATATAAATAAATTTCAATTATTTATTTCCGATGATATTCTTCTTTATACTCTTGTAAATTTGAAAATATTTTTATTTATTCTATATTAATAGATAATTTTATTTAGTATGTATTAAATAATTCAAAAACTATTCAAACAGAACCAATTTATCATTTGACAAAAGAAAATCAAATTACACAAAATATTGGTATTTGGAAAGGAATTCGTTATGAAAATGGTCAAATATATCTTCAATCGTTAGTTTATGAATAAGAAAATATTTATTGTCTTTATTTTCGAATATTTTATCAAATTCTATTTAGAATCAATTCAGAAAACATAATGAAATCTTTAGTAGTTAATCAAAATATTATTTCTTATCTTGAAATAATTAAACAGTAACAAATACTTTATTAATTGATTCATTTTATTAATATTAATTTTTTTAAGAAAAACTACAGCAACACCAAAACCAACTCTTTCAGATATTGATAGTGCAGTTGTTTGGATGTTAACTAGGGATCTTCGTCGAAAATTACCGAGTTTATTTGGAGATGTTAAAAGTTGGGTTGATGTTCTTTCGATAGTAAAAAATAATTATTTGTTATAGAAATCATTGAATTTTATCTTCTTTTTAAAAGTATTATCCAGGAAGTGATACTGTTAAAAATTTTCTTTATGATTTAAATACATTTCTAAAAAATCGTACTACATTAACATCAACAGAACTTCAAAATTATATTAATTCAACATCGGTAATTAGTTTTAAAAATAAAAACTAGAGACTTTTTTTTTCTTTTACTTTTAATAGACTATCAAATTACCTGAATTGAAATTCGATCATTGTAATGGATCTGACTCAACTAAACGTGGTTATCCATGTACATTATGGATTTTATTTCATAGTATGACTATTAAACAAGCTCAACTTGCCGAACAAAATAAATGTAATCTATATAGACAATGTAAAAAAAAAAAGATGCTAAGCTTTCATATGAAAATTAAATAGTTTTAGAATTTCTTAAGTCTTATAGACCATCGAAAGATACGTATATAATTTGAATGCATTCCTATAAAATTTTAGTGATATGAATTTCATATATAGATCCGATGAGTTTCTAGCAAGTAATAGAACCACTAGGATGAATTTTATTTTGGATGATGAAGTGGTTCAACGAGAAAATGACTTCCGTATTATTTCAATCAACTTTTATCAGAAATAAAAATGAAACATACTTAAAAAAAAAACTTATGTCAATTTTAAACATTAATAAACTAGAACTGAAAAAGTAGCTGAAAAAAAGTGATAGTCCAATTTAACATACAAGAAGTTTGACGAGCTTAACATCATGATTAGAACTAGAGAAAAAAAATTGGACTTTGTCCTTTATGTCGACAACAATAAAAAGAAATTAATATTTAACCTCTCAAAGTAGATAATCCATTGTTTAGTCATATACAAGGGAGAAACTACAGCACTTCAGCACCCAAAAGCATTGATAGGTGCTGATGTATTAAGAGGGCGTTGAGGCGTTGGTAGTAAGGACGCAACAGTGAGACTATCGGTGAAGCTGTGGTGTACATGAAGAACCTACGTTGATGACCAGTATGAGGACCGCTGACTTCTCTTATCACAGAGGAATCTGAACAATGGAGAAAACGCACGGGTGATACCCTCCGCATCTATTAGGAATGTACCAGTTTCAGTTTACTGGATATCCAATAGGACTGGAACTGGTGCATTCCTAATAGGTGTTGATAGGGTGCTGAGGTGCGGAGGATACTACCCGTACAGTTTCTCCCTTGGTCATATCCATATGTATTGATAACGATTTCTCTAATAACGAATGGGTCAAAAGTTTTGAGAGAAAACTTTTGTTTATTTTTTACTACCTTGGAAATATTTCCGAGAAGTGAAAACTTTATTGATTATAGACCAGAATTTTGTACTCTTTCCAAATGTAGGCTTAGAAATTTTCTTGAGATGATCAATAATTTGGACGGAAAATTTTTTCGTACAATTTTGTATTTTCACTATTGCTAGTCGAAAGTAAATGTTGAAACCTTATCGACTTGTAGAGCAGAAGTTATCCTACAAAATGTACTGTTCGAGTTTTTCTAAAGGTTACTTTGATTTTCATTTGTCTTAAATTCTCATTTTTGAAAAATCAACTTTTTGATCACAAAACTTTTTATATATTTTATATTAGTATCATCAGATGTTAAACCATTCGATCTTATGTTATCAATTCGACAATTTATTGGTAAATTTTTTCTTTGTCAAGAATGTGTTACACATTTTATTAATATGACATCAAATGCTGAAAATGAAATTAATTCATATAATGAAAGTGTTTTATATCTTTGGCGAAGTAAAATCAAATATTCTTCATTGTTACTTTTTATTTTGCAAAATATCTGGATTTTTCTTTTTTAAGGTCATAATATTGTTAATAAACGACTTCGATATGAAAATGATTCAAATGATCCCGATTGGCCTAAAGTACCTTTTCCAACAAAACAACAATGTAATCTATGTGTTGAAAAACTAGATGAAAATGGTGATGGGTTAGAATATAATGAAAATGAAGTATATCATTTTCTTAAAGGATTTTATTATTTCACAAATTCCGTAAGAAATCAAAGTTATAATCATGTTTTATTAGTTTTTATTGTTATTATAAGTAGATTGGTTTTATATCAATAAACTTAATCATTTTATCTTTGATTTAGATATTGCTTTTAGTTTCGTTTGAATTACGTTCTAGACTCAGGTCGATAATTTCGATCCCTATATCCCAAAGCTTTCGACAGGAACCCGAATGAAAGACACTGTTTCCAGGCGGAAAATGATAGAAACTTGGAATCAGGAATCTGATAATGATATTCGGTTGCTGGCTGTATCCGACTTCGGTCGGTTACGATCGGAACTGGATAAATCCACTCACCGAATTCCTGCTTCCAAGTTTCTACCATTTGGTTAGATTTCCTGGCCGGAATGGATCATATCTTATTCACATGCAAACGAATTTTTCTTATTATAGTAACGATTTCATGTCTTCTTGGATGTGGTATATGCAATGCGATAACGAGATTATAAAGATGAATCAATTTATTTGATTTTGTCAATTACATATATTTAATAATCAATAATATGTGACATTTATTGGCATTGATGATGATAAATTTAGTATTTGTATCGCAAGATCAACTTGAATTAATTCTCTACTCAACAGTATAAAATTGTGCCAACAGTTCTAACGGGTGATCCATAATAAATGGTCGTATTTTGTATTCTATTATTTAATAATTAAATCCGTTTTATAAAAAAAAAATTGCCTCTACCATAAGATACAGCGTGAAAAGTTCTACAATCTATAATACAAAGTTTATTTTAATGGTATACTGTTTATTTTCAAAATAACAACTTCTAGATAACGATTTCATCTATCAACAAGGCAACATCACGTCAACATACACATTAGAAATCATTGCTATGATATGAAAAAAATTTCATACACTTCATAGATAGCCACCAAATAGTTCTGATCTCAATGTTCTGGATTATTACATATGGAGTGCTATCACCGCAGCGGTAGATTCGCATCCGCGATGGATATCACTGTGAAAAAAGATTTCATGATAAGAATCGATTCTATTACTGATAGATCAGTTACCCCGGTATACCATGGCGCGGAGATATCACAGCAATACGGAATTTTTTAAAGTCAATGCCATGATTTCTCTCAGGAAAATTGATTTTTGAAACTTTACATAGAGACAGATCTTAACGAGAATAACTCTCTAAAAAATGTTTCAGACCTTGTTATTGCTCCTATCTTAAGATACAGTTACGGTAAAAGCGTGCCTTTTATATCGTTCATTAATAACGGCAGATTTAATATTCTTATTTCAGAATAGAAGTAATTCAAGAGAATTGAAACTTTCACAATAAACTAACCTACGACATTCATTTAAAAACTATTGTCAGTTTGCAGTATCTACGCAGCAAAAAGCTAGAGACACGAATTAGAGATGTGCAAGAACAAGTTTTTTTTTATCCTGGTTCAACGAAAACTATTCGAAAATTTATTCGTATCACATTTTTTGGTTTATTCAGTAGATGACTAGCACATTTGTTGGATCATCTCTCTTGATTTATGTCCTAATTTATAAGATAGTTTGCTTAAAACCATAGGATATTTTATTATAAATTTGATTATTGGTCCCGACAATTTTCAAGATATTCGAAACTTATTTGATTCTTTATGATGCACATCGTCCCGATTCAAACGCGATTAGTGAATTGCGAGAATTTCCTCGTCAGTTAGTGCAGATTAGCTCAAGAAAAAAATTCTCCCTTTTTTTTTTTGTTCAATTATTTTTGTAATAGATAGAAAAACCTATTAGACATGGATCATTTTTATTATGAAAATGTTTTCTCATAACTGGAGATAAACAATATATCCATTCAATATAAAATCTATGCTGCAATTATATGCTGTTACCGGAAAGCAAGAAAAGCTCTTAAAAACAGTTGAAATTTGGTATAATCATAGAACTACGAATATACTCATTATGGAAAGAAATAATTTCAATCTCATAAAGATTATTCATTTTGATAGAATTATTTAACTTTGATGATAACTCTTGTGCTATCCTTCTTTATCATGTTGTACTTTGTTCATCATTATGAATAATTTTGGACATTTTTTTCTAGCCATTGAAA